TTGGTAGTTGCGACCCACGCACTGCTAAGTGGCGCAAGCTCAACCGGAGCTGGTAGCGGTGGCGACTTGCCAGTCCCAAGTTGCAATTGCACCGCTTAGCCGCTCCCAACCCTAAACCCTAATCGTCTCTAGGTAGTTCCAACAAACCTAGACAGCCCTAAACCCCCTCCCCCCAAACCTGCTCCGGCTTTCCTCCCTCTGCTCCAGGCGGCATCCGTCGAATCATCATCCCCCAAAGCCTTGGGCTGCTTGGCGCATCCTGGAGGATAGGGCCCCGCAGGTTCTAGTGAAAATGTAGCCTGGGAGCTCTTTCCCGGGCATCAACCTTTGGCGTGACTTTCTTGCGGTTTCGGGCTTTGATATGTCATGGCCGTTTCTTCGTGTGCCGAGACGAGATCAAGACGTGCCGCAACCGTTGCAAGGCCTCGGTTGTAATCGTGCAGAGGTTTGAGAGTGCCAGGCATCTATAGACCGTCCAGACGAGGCAAAGTGCATCAACTCCTGAGCTTACTTTTGGTTAGTAGGGAATGGAAGAATGGCAGTTTTTGGTAGTTATAATTGTGCCCCATTCCTCCATTCAATACTAACCAAAGGTAAGTGAGTGGTCGACTGGCGCAGATATACTTGGAGGATCATGGGACTTAGTAAGTATGGTTATAAGTAAATATAAGTATAGTTACCCTGATAATAACCCAAGTTACTAATTCCCATGATCCTTTAAGTAGGGGCCTCATGTTGCGCGCCGGAGCCGGAGCCCAGACCGAGCTGGCACTAGATGGGGGTTTCCGAAAATAGGGGACCCTAATAGAGTACCCTAAATGGTAGGATCCTTATTTTTAAGGACCCCAAAATAAGGTACCCCTAATTTTGGGAAACTCTAAACCCGGTACCCTTTATAGAACCCTTATAGATCCCTTTAAGGAACCCTTGAAGGATCCCTACTTTTCGGAAACTCCCAGCTTGGTCCAGCGAGAAGCGCTGCAGATGCAGCCGATGCCACTGAGCGGGTTTTCGGGCTTGGAGCCTTGGACATGGCCATGTGGGAGTTTCCGAAAAGTAGGGGTACCTTATTTTGGGGTCCTCACAATAAGGATCCTGCCATTTAGGGTACTATATTAGGGTCTTCTATTTTCGGAAACTCCCATGTCTGAGATGGCGGATCTCCGCCGCAGGTTGCCTTTTTCTGACCTGCCTCTTGAGACGGTGGTGGAAGCCGTCCTGAAAGCCAAAGCCTCAGCCGGAAAGGGAAGAGGCCGCAGCAGATGAGATGCCCCAGATCTTCCGAAAAGTGTTGCGGGAGTTGCAACTGCACGTGCAGGATGAAGCAAGCCTTCTGTGGCCGTGCCGGATGATGTGAACGGAGACGGCGTGGTCACACTGTATGAGATTGCATCAATGCTGCCAGTGGTCTGCGGAGGTGAGGCCGTCGCCAACGAAATGTATCTATTCAAGATGACATATGAACGGCGATGACTATTTCAGCAAAGCGGAGTTTGCCAACTACCTGATGCCATTCCTGTCCTGGGTTCGGGGTGCCAAAGTCTCTTTGACCTCCGTGAAGAGGCAGAACTGAGCAGACCAGCTCGTCCACTCCTCTGGGGATACTGCTGCTGGACAAAATCCTGCATTACCCATTATAAGGAATATACCATAGTTCCCATCGTTTCGGGTCCTTCAGGGGGTATGGAGCCATCCTGGTTGGTGTCCATCTTGGAAAACCGACCTTTTCGACCAAGTCAGGCAACGTCGCACTCTTCGACGAGCGGAGGGCTTAACCTCCTTTGGTCCAAAGTGTCAGGACACTGGGCACATATGGGAGTTTCCGATTCTAGGGGACCCTAATAGAGTACCCTAAATAGTAGGATCCTTATTTTTAAGGACCCCAAAATAAGGTACCCCTAATTTTGGGAAACTCTAAACCCGGAACCTTTTATAGAACCCTTACAGATCCCTTTAAGGAACCCTTAAAGGATCCCTAATTTTCGGAAACTCCCCGAGTTCACCTTGGTCCAAGTTGCTTAACCGTGCGAAGAGCGAGCGCCAGGCATAGGCCGACACAGAGTTCCTCTACTTGAAGGATCAGGGGACTTAGTAACTAGGGTTATTATTAAGAAAACTATCATAGACAACTTTACTTATAACCCCAATCAAGGTACTCATTGCCATACTTACTAAGTCCCGTGATCCTCCAAGTAGTTGTTCTTCCTTCTCCAGAACTCCTCCTGAGTTTCCTAGCCAGGTCAGCTTCCCAAATGCCCTAGCCTTAAAGGGCCCTTGAGTCTTTAAGTGAGAGCATCGCTGGTGATTGGCCCCTGCCGTTCCCTTCAGCTCCACTCCAACATCCCTAAAGTGTCTTCAGGGTGTTGTTGGGATGTATAGGATCTAGAGGGCTCCTTAGGAACACACGGCTTCAGGTACCGTTCCTGCCAAAATAACCTGAAGATTGGCCAAGACCTCGATGCGACAAGTGCCCAGGTTTACGGACGAGTCAAAGTACCTCCTGGCATGCTTGATCTCCACCGCACGGTGGATTACTTTGTCACATCTGTCCGCGGGAACTTCGCGTAGATGGGCACAGACGACCGTGTTTCTGCTTGAGTGGGCTTTACACTGTAGAACCCATCCTTCTCGCAGACCAAAGGAGGTGGAGGCAGACGGAGTGACTTTTCTGAGCAACCACATTTCTCCGACACTTCTGTCTGGGCGCTTTTGCAGCTGCCAGGCAACCTATCCCTCCCAACTTCGCCGAGTTCCAGCGCCCCGCAGCTGCATTCCGAAGTCTCAGCGGGGGGGGGGGCCGAAGCCCATAGGCAGGAGAAAACAGTTCTCCTCGAAGCCAGAGAAACAAAGAGATTATATCATGTATTACATACTATGTATGATAATCTCTTGGCCATAAACTACATATTAAAGGAGAGGTTTGAAGTCTCCAAGGGGTCGCAGGAGCATCTTGCAGCTGAGGATTCCCCATCGCGCATCTGCGAGTTGCAGTAAACATCACAGCCGGGATAATGCCACTTCGCCCTTGGAAACCTTAGATATAGGGGCCTAAACTACCTACCAATAGAATTGTGGGTGTTCCTTCTTACAATTATAGTATAATGGGCCCCAAAACCCTCTTCCAATTATTAAGGCCCCTATATTACACTTTATAGAGAAAGCCTAGGAAGGAGTTGGAAAAGAACGCAAAGCCTCCTGTCTCCAAAAGGAACAGACCCGTATAGATGTCGTTCGAGCAAGGCTGCTGTGTCTTCCTTCAATCAGAAATCGTGGACCGTGGATAGCAAGTAAAGGAACCCCGTTCCGGACATTCAAGACCCGATTTCTAAGCTGCTTATTGCCAGCCCTGCTCCTTCATGTAGGAGGCATGCTGCCCAGGTTTTCGCAACATCTACTTGAACCCAAATCGGGTGCGCCTGGCCTGACGAAGACTAGGGCAAGCGTTGCGGTTCTGAGATCTTAACTCGATCGGGTGCGTGTGAGTCTTGAGAAGACCGAGGTGAGCATGTTGAGTCCGGCATAGCTGTATCAGCAACTGGGTACAGTTTACATGTGGGCACCAGGTCTACCAGCCAGATCTCGTAATGGACGTGAAGCTGTTCACGTTCGGAGACAAATGAGGCAGCTTGATGTACATATCCAGTCCGTGGGGTGATCGACTTCAATGCTTTAACCTTCAAGATGAGAGAAGGTCGGGAACTTGCAGTACCTGGGAGCCTGAGCTGTCGTTTCTGTACTTCGGTGTGAAGGTGTGGTTTGGCCGGAGGACATTTGCACATGGGTCTGGTCCAGAACGTTTCAGAACCAACGCCAAATTAGACAGGCTGGCTGGCTGGCTGAATGCCGGAATTGGATCCAACAATGAGAGAGGGAGAGAGAGAGATAACCCCGTAGACAGTGTCAAAGCGCCATCGATAGACTGCATTTCGGTGAATGTACGAACCAGAGTGATCAACCCCAATGGCACGATGAAGCAGCATGATTTAAATCTTGCAGGCAGCACATGTCAGACAGGAAGGCCGAACATCTTCAAGAATCGGAATGAATGTCCTCCTAAACCCTAAACCCCTAAACCCTGAAGAATGAATGTCCTGAAGAATGAATGTCCCCAAGCCTATGACATCTTTTTTTGCATTCTCGAATGCAACTTGCTCAAGAGTCGAAGTGCCCTTTGAACCCCATTGTTCCTAGAGACTCCAAAATCCCTTAAACAAGAGATAGACCGTCAAGGATAATAAGGATCCCATTTCTACTTTATAAGGCACAACCCTTCATTAAGGACTTTTGGAGTCTCTGGATTGATGATGTTCCCAAGCTCTCCGAAAGCCAGGTCTTCCCGACAGCCTTCGCTGCGCGAAGACATGATGGGCTCGGCAGGCTGTAAAAAGCGGCCGGAGAGGTCGAGCGTTAAGTATTCTTTTCCGTAAAAACGTAGATCACGGCAATATGCAGCACATGTTAGATTCTCCATGGTTCTCCGTTTTCCAGTAATCTTTCTATTCATCCTACATGATTCTTTTTAGAGGACTTGCCGTGCCTTGTCCTGCAAGAGACGAGCTCGAGACTTGAGATCCGGGCTCCTGGAGTTAGGAGAGTCCCACAGAAGATACCTTTAAGGCCTTCGCCTAAATAGCTGCCAGTATTTTTTGTGTTTTTGTTTTTTGGCTCCTTACTTTTACTAAATTAGAGATAGTTTCGAATAAGATAATGTAGAAAGCCGAATACGAAAGAATTAGCACTGGCACTAACGGCCCTGATATGGTCACCCGCATCGGCTTTGGCAGTCTGAGTCCGCTTGCATGTACGACTCGGTGTTTCCGGCGTCACGGCGCTCAACAACAATCGTAACAACTGTCATAATTAGTAAGGATCACGACGATAATGCTAATAACAACAGTATACGCATGCTAAGACTAGTAGTTCTTGCAAGTGCCAGTTGTACTCTTCGCCGAGAATTTCAGGGTTCAAGCGTTTCTGTAGTTAGTCTCAGCGTGCATCTGATGGGTGGCTCCTGGTCCAAATACACGGCCCCGGCTGAGATCGAAACGCAATGGCACCAGGGCAGCAGAAAGAAGCAGGGTCTGTCGAGTGCTTTGGCTTGAATCTGAAGGCTTCGTTGCCGGTGTCGCAGACCTGAACAGGAGGCAGCGACCCTCAGCGAGCTCCAAACCGGTCACCATCTGTGTCAAGAAATAACTCATGTCCAAAAACCGTTCCGTGCTTGGGGATGGCCCGGGGTCTGGCACCGAACCCTAGCGGAGCCAACCACACACGAGATTGTGAATAGCTTTGAGGGGTCGGGCTTGTGCGACTTGGGGATCACAGTGCCAGAATCTCATGAAGATCTCATAAAGTGAGTGGTCTTGCTGGCCGGGAGGGTGCCTCTACTTTGGATACAGATGAATCATGACTCAGCAAGTACATCTGCATGCATGTACCTACAGAAAGTACCTCGTACGTGTAGACGTCCAGATGTGTGTTCAGCAACCGCTGGGAAGACTGACACTGACGGTCGCTGTTTTGGCCAGCGAGGTTCCACGACTTTGAGAAGGATCTCCCATCCCTGGAAGGCAAGGTCGTCTGTGTGACGGGCTGCACGACTGGAACTGGCTTCATTGCTGCCAGGACAAGGGGCGGCATGATTCTCTCATTCACATGCTAGGTCTGCTAGGTACTTCTGCCGTTTCGGGAAATGGATCTTCAAAGCTCAATCCCGCGCCGATATATATCTCAGGGAGCCCCAAGTGTAAGGGAACCATCGTGCAGCAGGGAGCTTTTCGCAGGACAGCTGCCAAGAAAGGAGCCCATGTGGTCATGCTGAATCGCCAGAGCACCCTTGCTGCAAAGCGTCATCAGCATGGGAAACGTATTCGCGTGTGTGTATTAGCCCCCGTTTGCATGGAACCCTAAACCCTAAACACTATTATGTATTATCACGGGTGAGAATTCTGAAGAAGTATCGGATTCGGTGGTGTGCAGTTTCACTGCAGCACTGACTCCGTCAGCCTTGGCATTTGGGAATACAAGCAACGAGTTCGCGTCTTCATGTCGTAACCATTCTGCAGCCTTTCTCCGCAATCCTAGATGATGCTACCCCTGAAGCATTGGCAGTTTGCCAACAAAGTTGGCTATGTTCTTCAGATACCTTGCCCTCTCACGTTTGGCGCTTGTAGGCGGGCTCCAGCGAAACCTTCAGCCTTGCAGGGCAAACGAGTGGACTCAAGTCAGCCTGTAGGCTTTCTCAGTGAGTTGATAGCAGTTGAACTCACTGCCCTCTAGTAGCAAGACAAGCCCCAGTCGGAACCTTAAAGGGTACCAAGGTTCTATTGCAGGGTCCCCTTAAAGGAACCCTATTCAAGCTACAGCTATGAAGGCCGACGTAGGAGTCGGCTTCGCGCGAAGGGCTTTCGTCGCACAGCCAAGGCGCGCGATCTGAGGCAGCGGAGAAGTCCCTCTTGGAAGTGGCACCAGGCACGAAGGCTTACTTGGAGGGGCAGGGGACTTAGTATGTTGGTTATAAGTAGAGTTATAAGCACCCTAAATGGACCTACCCCAATCATAACCCTACTTATATCCTACTTACTAAGTTCCCAGCCCCTCCAAGTAGGATTCGGGAGTAAGGGTTCAGGAACCTGCTTCAAGTAGAAGCTTTTTTCTGCAGAGCGGGTTATATGAATATCAGGATTACAAAAGGTTTGTTTTTGATGAACAGTTTGTGATGGGCTTTGGTTTACGGGTGCTGTTACCTTTCATTTCATGAGCTACCGCTACAAAAGCCATCAGCCCGAGTGATCACGAATCACGTGCTTCTTCTAGTACAGTCCTTCTGCATCGACCTCCTAATCCACCGCATCTTGTGCCTTTGGAGGGCCCCGTGGTATATTTCTTCACGGAGATGTTTATGACCCCAAACCCCGAAACCCCAAGCCCTAAGCAACCCTAAACCCCCATAGGCCCGATTATAGATCCCTTCAAGGAGCCCTAACTAATAGATCACTTTTTTTTCTCGGTACCCTTATAGATCCCTTGTAAAGGAAGCCTCATAGATCCCCGGAGAAGGCCCTCCTAAAGGCTGCCCCCCCTCCAGGCAGCAACGTCACTTCCGTGGCTTGCGACCTTCAAAGCTTCGACAGCCTCTTGGGAAGATCGGAGGGCCTCTCTCCTTTGGTCTACTTAAAGGATCATGGGACTTGGTAACTAGGGTTCTTTAAGAGATTCCTTAAAGGGCTCCTTTTAAAGGGATCTATGGGGGTTCTATATAAGGGGGTGTTAGGGTCTAGTTGAAGGATCATGGGACTTAGTAACTAGGGCTATTACAAAGGTAACTATACTTATAGTTACTTTTAACCCCAATTAAATTGCTTATAACCATACTTACTAAGTCCCATGATCCTCCAAGTAGTGCCCTGCTTAAGGTGTCGGGTGCAGGGAGGTTTAGGATTTGGGGAGGCTCTTAGTCTTGGACTTAAGGTGTGAGTGTAAGGGGAACTGCAGAAAGTTGGAATATGGTTTCAGGGTAGGATACCCTATAATTTACCATAAAGGGTTTAGGATAATAGTATTCCAACTTTCTGGCTTTTACTGTAGGGTTTAGGGAGGTTAGGGTTTAGGGGGCCTCTCGTTTTTAGTGTAGTGTGGGGGGGCTTGTAAGGTGTAGGAGCTTCGGGTTCAGAGGTCAGGGCCTCCCTTTTGGTGTAGTGTTGGGCTTATGGTGTAGGAATTAGCGTTTAGGCTTAGGGTTTACGATTCAGCCGTTTAGCGTAGTAGTTGAGGGCTTAGGCTGTAGTGTCTAGGGAGTTTAGGGTTCAGGGGGCCTTTTTGGGCTTAGCGTAGGCGTTCTCTTGGAGCATTGCTCTCTCTGCTTTTTCATTCTCTGAAGGTTCAGGGCTCAGGGTTTAGGGTCTCTTTTTAGAGTTCTGAAGCCTTGCTGCCTCTCTCTCCTTTTTTCATCCGCGAGCGCCATGAAGCCTAAACCTGAACCTAAACTGCCCAGACCCCAGAGACCTTGATCTCACAATCTCGCAGACAAAGTCAGAAGAGATTTCCGGAGCAAAGCGGAGGTGTGAAAGAGGCAGCTTCCAAGCTGAAGTCGATGCCTCCTGGCCCTGTTACTGTTACTGTTACTATTATACTATTGCTATTATACAATTAGTCTATTACTATTACTATTTTACTATTACTATTATACTGTTGCTATTATACTATTACTCTATTAAATTACTATTTTACTATTACTATTATACTGTTGCTATTAAACCATGACTTTATTACTATTAAATTGTGCGAGTCCTTCAGAGGCTGTTTGACTTTGGTGGTTTTAGAGGCGGAGGGAATGGCACAGCTGAAAGCGTTCACATCGCGGCCTTGGCAGGGCTTGCACAGAAGCGCAAGACTAGGAGTCGTTGTCTACTTGGAGGGGCAGAGGACTTAGTAAGTAGGTTATAAGTAGGGTTATAATTGGGGTAACTCCATTTAGGGTACTTATAACCTACTTACTAAGTCCCCTGCCCCTCCAAGTAGCTTGCTGCTGCCATGCCCCCGGTCCGGACTTCGCGGACCGGCGGAAGGGGGTTTCCCACTGAAACTGGCTCCATGTTCTGAAAGTTGTGGCCTTTACTTTTTATTTTGATTGTGCCAGGCATGTGCCGCAATCATGCAAACCGAACGCCCGAACATGTGTCTGAATTCTCTTCATGCAGATCTACACATACCGTGCAGTTTCGAACGTCAAGCATCAGAAAGCGATCGTAAATCCAGGTTTGCGGACAAAGGCCACGAAGCTGCAACAAGAGTTGATCAGAGTTTCTGCAGGCAGATGTAGATCAGGAGTTGCAGGCCATGTCTTGATGACGGCTTGCATGCCAAGACTTTCGACATATGCTGGTAACGAAGCATGACAGATCAGAAGCAGAACAGCTCTCATGTATCCGGAGTTCTTAAATTCGGAAGGGAGAGCTTGGCCCTGATGCTCGGCAACCTAAGAACACAACACGATAGTATCTCAGTCCGTTGCATCCTGCAGTGTTCTGCACGCTCAGGCATTGACGTTCTGTGCAACAATGCCGGCGTCATGGCATTGGCAGACGAGGCGCCGGAAGGGCATCCCAGCCTCGCCTTGCTGGGAGCTCAAAACCTGGCAAGAGGCCACTGATTTGCTGATCTACAGTCCTCCCGCCATAGAAGAACCCGGAAAGCACCGCAATGAAAAATGTAAGCAACCCCTCTCGAAAGGGGTGCCCAATGCCCCGAATTGTCCGACACTGTGCATGTGTACCAGTACACTCACAAAACTCCCCAAGCACTGTGCTGCTTCTGACATGATACTTGCAGACAGCAACAGCTGTGCAGCTGCCAATCTCTGTGATTCCTCGAAGAGGCCACGAAGGACGGCTACGACGTGCAGATGCAGAGTCTTGCACTGCAAGCACATCAATGGTCTGTGGGATTCAGACGCTCTGTGGAGAGGCCTTGCGGCTTCTCGTAGACGTAGCTTGAACCAGCACTGACTAGCGGCTGGCGAAGCCGAGCGAGAACTGGCTAATGGACAGCACCCCGGAACCGTAGAAACCTTGAGAATCCTTGAGCAGAGAGCCCAATACCCCTTAACTAAGCAATATAGCTTAAATCATAATATGAAGCCCTATATAATTTAAGCCATATTCCTTAATTAAAGGGTATTGGGCTCTCTGGGTAACCTTGGGTCCAACATCGAAACCTGAAAGCCCTCAACCTGACACACCCTGAACCCTCGAAACCCTTGAATCCAGATCGTGTTTCAATCACCTTGGCTTGGCTCGTAGTGCTCGAATCGCGCTTGAAGGTATGATGTTTCGTAGAGGAAAAACGGTTTAGGGTAGGGGGTTTAGGGTTTAGGGTTTAATGTAGAGGCCCTGCATTTCGAACTGATAGAGATGTCCACCTGAGGACCAACCATTTGTCGCACTTCCTCCTGACCAAGGAGCTCTATCCACTACTCGAGAGACTTGAACAGCATGCATCAGCATACCAGTATGTCACAGGTTTTGCTGCATTTTCGGACAGCCCTCCTTGTGGTACAAGCAGTGTACCTGAGGAAGTGACAGAACGTGTACTTCTCCAGTTGTGTCAGCTTCGGCCTGCTCTGTGCCTCATGTTAGGTTATATTATATGAGTTGATACTAGGTTGTATTTTATTATGCTACAGATGTGTGTATGTAGGTATATATATATATATATGCATATATATATATATATATATATATATATATATATATATATATATATATCAGCCAAGGAAGGCTGCGCAGCAGCGGGGCGATGCGCGGATCGTGAATCACTCCTCAGGCCGGTCGGAAATCCCTGCGAAAGACAAAATGAAAACATGCTTGGAGGGGCGGGGGACTTAGTAAGTAGGGCTATAAGTAGGGTTATAATTGGGGTAACTCCATTTAGGGTACTTGTAACTCTACTTATAACCAACTCACGAAGTCCCCAGCCCCTCCAAGTAATATATACGCTAAGACACGGCAAAACAGCATAATATATGTTTCAGACATGTCTTCAGCAAGGTTCGTGCGCATTCGTAGTTTATTGGATGGGCCTTCCGGTTGGTTGCTCTTTTTAAACCTGTGTTGATAAGACCGGAGTGCACTCCAGGCGCGCGGAAGTTTCCGAGCAAAGACCTGGATGCAGACTACTTGGGGAAGTGCCTCGGCCTATCAAAGCTAGCCCCATCAGGTCACACAGGTGCGGATGATGTGAATTTCGGCGTCCTCTTGGAATGTCGTTGCCACGTACTGCTGCTCTGATGTGAAGGATTTTGGCCAAAGGTTCAGATGTTCGAAACGTTAGTGTGAGGGGCCTGGTTTGTGATTGTGGTCAGGTGTCAGAAGGCAAGGATTTCAACAGGGTCATGAACTGGACAGTTGGAGTTTGATGCGCAAGAGTTCCAGCGTTTCAGCTCCTCTGGCATCTGTGTTGAGGAACGGCGGCAGCCTGGGTGGCAACGGCAACTCAATGTTCTTCGGCGGTGCACGCTGGCAGAGGCAAGGCATAATGATAGGACGAATAGAAAGACGCGAATGGCAATGTCGCAGTCGTCGTCTAGATCTTCTTGGTGGTTGTTGTTGGTGGAGGCGGTGGTGCTGTGATGGTCGTCGTAGTCTTGGTTGAAGTCATGGTGGCAGCAGTTGTAGTAGCAGACATTATCGTAGTCACAACCGTCGTCGGCGTCGTAGCAGCAGCAGCACCACCAGGAGGAGGAGTAATAGTAGTGGAGGCATACTAGAAATTTCCGTCGCAACTATTGGGGAGCGGGAGAAGGAGTGTGGTAATGCTGGTATCAGTGGCAGCAGGGTTCGTGTTAGTGATGGTTCTGCAGTGGTGCCGGTTGCCTTGGCCGTCGTCGACGAACGCAGAGTCGTAGTTGCCGTTGTAGTCGTAAGTAGCAGGAGGGATTGAGAACAGACAAGAATAACAGTAGTAATCACCAAGTAGTAACAAAGGCAGATGCAGCAGCAGCAGCAGCAGCAACAATGATCACCACTATGGAAGCAGCTGAAAACAGATTCGGGTGTCTGCAAAGCTCAGAACTGCACCTTTGTCCGTAGCTCTTCCACATCAGAGCCCATGCACGCCGGAAAACACCACGATGCCCGCAAGTGAGATCATCTCCCGAAACTTGACCCCCAACCTGCAACCTGAAGTCCTTCTTAAAGGATCGTGGGACTTAGTAACTAGGGTTATTACTCTAAGGTAACTATACTTATAGTTACTTATAGCCCCAATTAAAGTACTTATAACCATACTTACTAAGTCCCATGATCCTTTCAGTTGGCACAGGTATCATCAGACAAAGCTGGCCAATGCGGTCTTCACCCTAGCCTTGGATGAGAGGCCGCAGCAGAGTTGCTGGCAAGCCTTGGGCGGAGGACGGACTGTAGCTAGTCGAGCGTTGCCCTGCCGAGTTTCAATGAGCCTGTTATAGAAAACTGTTCCTGAGCTTATGCCCTTAGCCTTAGCCCCTCATGGTGGGCGCCTTGTTTTGGTGGAAGAGGTGAGAAAGTCAATTCACTGCCAGGGGCAAGAAGTCGTTCTGAGACCAAGCTACCATTGCTTTGCTACCACGCATCGAAAGCCTCATGCTTTCACAGTTTGTGCGCAGGCTCCGTGCAAAGAGCTCCAAGGTGAAGGCCGTCACTTCTGACATGAGCGTAGGCGGTGATGCACGTTGCCTCGTTAAGGCTAGCACTACTTCGGGTTACAGACTCAGAAAATTGTTAGGAATTTCAGGCTGAAGGCCATAGCGAACAAGCTTCGAGGTGTTCTTTGCGGCCTGCTTGCACAAGAGCGTAAAGCAGCGATCTTCTTTGTGAACGCGTGTCCCCTTTCTGTTTGCATCCATAACAAGGAGAAGAGTTTACTGTATAGGAATTATAGTTGCGGGTTCGATTCAGAAACTCTCACCCCTAACCTCCAACCGTAATCTTAAGAGATCTCCGTAAAGCCTTGATGATAAGAACATCTACAAACCCCGGAAGCAGCGTGCTCATTGTTGCAACAACAGACCTTAACCTTAATCTCCAGACCTCTTTTGGACCGCCTTACAAGGAGCATCAACACGAGCCCCGCCAGGAAACCCTTTGATATATATAGGCCGGAGTACATACCAACATTATTCCGTAGGGTTCCTCGTTACGATCATAGTATAAAGGAACCCAAGACCTTATTCCAACTACAAAGGCCTCTACTAGACCCTAAACCCTAAATGCTGCCGGAAGCTCTTTAGAAGGAACCCTTTAGAGGGATCTTCTTTTCAAACAACGTCCCCAGAAGCTGTGGCCCTCCTGTGGGTTACCCCTTAAACCCTAAACTCCATGTGGGAGTTTCCGAAGATAGGGGTACCTTATTTTTTGGGGTCCGATCCTACTAATTTAGGGTACTATATTAGGGTCCCCTATATTCGGAAACTCTCATGTAGCCCTCCCTTGCGAGTTGGCTTCAACAGGCCCTTTGTGCTGCGCCGGGCCTGGCTGCGACGAATCTGCAGGCTTTCAACAGAAGGGGCTTAGGTAGGGTTCCCTTAAGGGGACCCTTAAAGGAACCCCTCTAGATCCCTTCAACGAACCTCTATAGATCCCTGAAGGAGCCCTTATGATGTCCATGAGGATGTGAGGGTACGTACTCATACAGGGTACTGGTAAACAGTGGGTGACAAGTTTCAGGGTGCTGAGCTTTTGGGTTGTCTTTGGGCTGGAGACTTTCGGAATCTAAAATCTTTCTCTTGTAGGGCAACAGCCCATCAATTACATTATTACGCAATAATCTTGTCATATTGTTAGCATACTACCCTAAACCCTCATACCCTAAACCCTCGAGCCTCATACCCTAAACCCTTAAGCCTCACACTCTAAACCGTAAAGCCTCATACCCTAAACCCTAAAGCCTCATACCCTAAGCCCTAAACCCTCATCATACTCTTACTATACTACCTTGCTTCATGCTTGGGGCATTTCTCTCATGTGGGCACTGGGCGAGGCAGTGGCAGCCTGCTGCCTCTGTGTACAAGGTTGTAGATTCCATAATAACAACTGTGTGATGTATGTTATTATAACTCTAGTTTTCTGTCAAGATGAACAGATGAGTTGTTGCATGTTTTTCTGCTCGTGCACCGCAGGTCACGACGAATCAGGCGGATGGATTCAACGACACCTGGATGATGCGCTTCGCGCAGTCTGGGGAAGCACCTCAGCCATTGAGAATGCGCAGGGCGGTCACGGAAAGACCCAAAAAGCCAGTCGCACCTTCATGCGGCGATGTAGATCTACACGAATGTGGTCTTTTGGAGCGATCGGGAAGTGAAGCGCTCTTGTTGCTGTCAGTACTAGTTGTGGTCAGGGGCGCTTCGAGGGTTTCATGGAGTGCCTAGTCTAGTCTCGCATTCAACGAATCACCTGCGAGTGCGCGCTGCCGAAAGCCGAAGGATGGGACCATGCCGCTTCTCCAGTGCTGTGTTGGAGAAGGCCAGTGCACGAAGCCACGATGATGGGAGTCTGTCATAGGAGGCCAAAAGGGGTTTTAGCTTATGGGGGTTTAGTAGGGATTAGGGTTCCCATGATAGGGGTCATATTAAGGAATTCCTACCCCAAGAATCTTAAACCCCCCTGTTGGCCTCCCATCAGTCTCGCTTCGGGAGCCCTGCACAGCTACGGTTGTTTTTATCATGCCTCCGGAAGCTTGCATGAATTAGCCAAGTGTGGATCGACTGCGTAGTCACAAGGGAGAGATGCGAAGCATGGCCATGTGTATAGATAATGGGCCCACGCAACGCCAACTTCTAAAATGTGCAGATCTCCGCAGCATGAACCCTTCGAAGAGTTGTACGGGCGAGATACCTCTCGGAAACCAAACTTCCCAGCCTTGCAACTTCGTGGTTGAAGCTTTTTGAGCTTTGGGACAAGCAGAACGATGCGAACCGTTGAGGAAAACGCCCATGTCTAGCAGGAACGGGCAGAGCATCAGATGGATGACAGCTGTGTGCACGCTGCTGAAATTCACCACTTCCCCATCTTGGTCCGAGCTATATGAAATACTTTATGTAGGGGCTTCAATAATGTACTATACTATAATACTATAATCATAATAAGGAACACTGCGATAGTATAGGTATGTTGCAATAGCGGAATCTGCAGCTCAGACTGCCGAACGAAGGGCCGAAGGACTTCCGGGAAAGGCAAAGGCGAGGAGGAAGGTCGGGAGCAGGTCGAGTACTTGGAGGGGCAGGGGACTTAGTAAGTAGGGTTATAAGTAGGGTTATAATTGGGGTAACTCCATTTAGGGTACTTATAAGTCTACTTATAACCATACTTACTAAGTCCCCTGCCCCTCCAAGTGGAGCCTCTTGTGTACTAATGTTGTAGAATGTACATTTTATGTACTATGGTATTCGTATTCTATATCTGGTAAGCTCCGGATCCTACAACTTCGGAGAGTGCACCCTCTGGAGATCTTGAGCAGCAAGTCCAACCCACGACTTCCCTCACGAGGCGTGCAGTCTGGTGAGTTCTACGAGCCGGATGGCATGGCAGCCATGAAAGGCAGCTCCGAACGGAAGGGCAGATGTACTGATTCCTTCGGCTTCATCTTGATGTGTTCAGGCGTTGTTCCAAGATTCGGAAGTTCGATGAAAAGCCCCCCCAGCGCGACACCCGGACCCTGCGCAAGCCATGCATGTGTAGGCATGGTAAGAACCTGCACTGCGAGCTTTGCGAAACTGCAGCTATGCCCAACCATGCTTCGATCTTCGCTGAATGTGCAAACTCTCCTGTCATGCCGCTTTCAGCTTACATAACAGCGCCTGACGCGGAAGGCAAGCCGGCCAAGATTGACTTGGAGCCCATCTGCACAAAGCCGGAGTCCAGAAACATCCTGTGGCATCTTGATGAAACACTTGAGGCGAACTTCCATGTGCGATTCTGCAGAGGTTCATGACGAGTTAAACTTACACCAATTTTTTGACGGTTTCATGCAAGCACGCCGTGGCGCGAAAGCGTCTGTGTATTCAGCAGGAAGCGTCTTTCAGCACATTAACAAGCCATTGCAATTTCTAAGGCCTAGCTTGCCACAAAATCTTAGGCAGGAAAGCGAGAAGGCATGCGGTGCCTTCAACATCGAGTGAGCCCAGACATGGAGGGGTTGTGTTGGCGATTCCTCTGAACTTGGGGGCTTTCGCACCTTTTGCTCAGATCTAACAATCTGAATTGTTTACTTCCCGCCCGTGCTGCCTCGGCAAAGCCTGGCAGATTGTGGGATTTGCTGCAGTTACCTGCGGTGCAGATTCGTGCTTCTGCAGTGCAGCATTGGCGGATTTCAAGTACAGTTGTGAAGTTACAGGCGCGTTAGAATAGCATAAAACCAAGACAGACGAAAGCCACAGGACGTGCTTACAGGTCAGAGCAGCGTCAAATGCCATTCCACAACCCACATCATCCCATGCTTCCCGGACTCCAGACGTGGCGTGATCGAAACTGTCATGAGCATACTGTCAGCAGATCGATCCAACATTCAAATCTATGCAAGCAGAGCAGCTGGGCTGATCTCCGGCGCTATGGCTGGTCCCAAGTCCCAAGTGCTGCCAAGTCCCTGTGAATCCGATGCCCTGAAGCCGGATAGGCATCATGGGTTTAGGGTTTAGGGGTTTAGGGTTTAGTGGTTTAGGGTTTACGGTTCAAGGGCATTTGTAAGAATACTTCGTGCTCCCGTTGCTGGCTCGGAGCGAGAAAGCCCCCGTTTGGGAGCGCGAAACGCGGGCTGCCTGGCAGCCGAGCCCTCAGTTCTCTCAGAGCCTCATGAACTCATCGCTTAGGCTGCTTCTCGTTGGGGGGGAGGAGTTGTCAGGGCTCTGTTTTGGTTTCAAGGAGGCTCGGATGTGGAAGTTTTGAAGCCGCAATCGGAATGCCAATGTGCGAATGCCCGAAGTCAGCAGCCTATGGGCCCCACGGGCCCTGGGCCAATGTGCTCTGAGTCGGTTAGAGCTTCGATGCTGTGAGGACCTGCGTCCTTCACTTTCGGCTTGGGGTCAACAAGTAACTCAAGATGTGGCAGATGCTCTGAGGCACTGAGCATGGCATCATCTTGCTTGGCCCTTTTTCGGGGTAACTCAGTTTGTGAAGAGGAGGGAAGCAGCCACATAGCATTTGATACCATCCCTAAACTCTAAACGGCCCTAAACCTGAAACCCCCTCATGTTGCCCAAAGCTGACAGACCGTCATCTCCCAGGGCCCTGGCCGCAAAACAGTCCGGACGATGTTGAGATGAGATGTGGGAGTTTCCGAAAATTAGGGGGGTACCTTATCTGGGGATTCTTATACTAAGGATCCTACTATTTGGGGTACTATATTCGGGTCCCCTCTTTTCGGTAACTCCCATGTCGAGCTAGGGCATCGAAACCCGCAAACCCCAAACCCAGAGCCGTAAAAAAACACACTCCTACAAGTACGCGGCGCGTGGAGTGGGCTGACAAATCCCCGTTGTTCCCGTCTCTATAATGCAAAGCAACACTGCCAAGATTGCCACGGCAGCACCGATGGTGGGGAGACATGGGTATGCGAGGACGCATGAGCATGGTGGCACGAAGTTGAGGGCTCTCAAGGCTCGTTGACGATATAGTGGCCTCTATTATAGTGAGAGCCAGGTGGCAGGTCATGTTGCAGCATTGCTATACAAAGAATGTGAAAGGGATGTTACGGTCAGTAGTTCAAATCTCAGTCGCAGTGCTGGGAGCCTGAGTTTCTCAAGACCTCAAGCCTTCGCAAACAGGCGAGCCCCTAGTACAACATGCAATTCATCTGGTATGCACTTTTGGCGTCTAGCATGGTCATCTTGCATGAGGTAGACTAGAGCATCTCTGGAATAGGGTGGTTGTCAAAATTAGGGTCCCTTTTTGGGTCCTTATAAAAGTACGGCACCTTATACCCAGAAAGGGACCCTAGTGTTGACAACCACCCAATAGTCCCAGGCCCCCCCCGTCCTTGAAAGCCCCGGTCCGCTCTGCGTCCCAGAGTAGACCCTAAACCCTAAACCCCATAGATCCCTTTAAGGAACCCTCTAGATCCCTTTAAGGAGCCCTTTAAGAGCCCTTCCTAAGTCCCCTCCTGCCCCTCCAGAGCAGCGGAGCGCGCAGGAGCTCAAGGCTCCTCTGGGCGCTCTGCCTCGGCTTCCCGAGCACCTTGCCCAGGGCTCAGAAACTTAGGGATCTAAGGACTCCCCCATGTTTTAAGGAAACCCTAAAAAACCCTAAACCCTATAGGGGCCCTAATCATCTCTAAGGACTCCTGTTTTGAGGCTTTTGGGGCCAACGGCCGTACAAAAAGATTTGTTTTTTTTTGGGGCTATTTTGATGCCCAGGGCTCCGAAGGCCGAGCCGAAAGCCGAAAACCAGCCCTAAGGCAGCGACACCGCACATGTTACCGGTGCTTTCTTCTACGACGGTTCAGAAAGTACAGAATCATGGCAAGATGTGTCGAGCCCCAAGCCTTTCGGTGTGCTTGGATGTCGAGTCGATGAATTGTTGCCGTGGAGAGGCCTTTGCTGCTTTCGCCTCTCGCAGTGTCTCTCTCTCTCTCTCTCTCTCTCTCGGAGCTGCCGATATCTGTGGTGCACCTCCACATCATTTACAAGCGAGCTTGCATGCCTGCTTTCACCTTCTGGTAAGCCTACTACAGGTGTCTTTGTGCAGGGCGCCTCAGTTGTTGCAAGCCCAGAATGTGCTTCTTCAGCCGTTTCATCTTCCGACTTTTGGGGACCCAGGGGCCTTGTTGAAGCCATGGCTTCTCTCGCGGCCTTGGGTGGAGCGTGCTTGGCTGGCTTTGGCTGCGGAGCAGGTGTCGTCAAGCTGAAGGCGACAGCTGTCGCGCATCTCGGACCAAAGCATGAGCATGATGACTTCAGTCAGAAAGAGCCGCAGCACTCCTTGCAAACCGTGTTTGCCTTAAGTTGTTTCTAGGATAGCCATACAGCTCGCAAGAGTCAATTCAAGAAATGCATGTACTCGTAGCCCATCAGAGCTGGGTTGTTGTGGAAGCCATCATCGTTTGCTTACATGGGCCCGAGGTCAACTGCCACAACAACGGCTTCGGGGGCTGGTCCTGCACCTGTGGCGAGTGAAGCAGGTGACAAGAAGCGAATCGCTCAGTGTAACTGTGGACAGCTTCGTGTAACAGTCACTGGACCTGACCCGGAGAGAATCTTAGTAGCTGAGTGGATACACTTTACACTTTTTTGGGATATATATATATATATATATATATATATATATATATATACATATTACCCACTATAAAACTAAAAGTGTACATTTTGGGGGGTCTTATGAACTCAGCAGCTAAGGAATCAGCCTGTGCCACTGCAACTTGTGCCAAAAGCAGTCTGGCAACATCTTTGCAGTTCAAGCTCGCTTCCCAAAGGAGCAGGTGACAATTGAAGGAAAGTCGTCATCTTGGAAGCTTCCGAAAGACGAAGCCGATCAGATCGCGTACCGGAACTGCGTCAGTCTCGGGGGCGGTGCAGTCTTCCATTTCTGCCCTCTGTGTGGCTCGACGGTTTGGTACACTGCCGATGCGGATACTGCGCGAATTGGTATAAAGGTCGGATGCTTCACGGACCCGTCTTTCCCGCCGCCCAAGTTGTCGGGATTCGAGTCTTATATGCACCCCTGGGCTTTGAATACTCCATCTCTGCAGGTGCAACACATCCCATAAGAAGGTTCTTGTGCCTGCATCTACTGACAGAGTGCAGCTTGTTTTAAGCGCGTGGCTTGAAGTGCTGCTCATGGCTGTGTAAGAGAAAAAAGGGCCGCTGACCACGAAATGAACGGTTCCGCCCTGGGGCCACTGCCCTTGCTGTTGAAAGCCCTGAAGATTCACGGACAACATGGTATAGCCGCGATCGGTGATAAGTGTTTGCTTGGATTGCATCTCACGGACCCTGTTCGACGTTTCCGCATTTCTGCGAAAGTCCTGAAAACTTCAAAGACCAAGGCCTGAAGTTACATAGAGGCTAGCTAGGCCTAAAGACCCAACTCTTACAGGGAAGCAAGAGAACAAAAAGCACAAAGACTGAAGCATCAGCCCATAAACAAGCATCATATAACACCCGCAAACCTGCAGCCTTGCCAGCCCTTTCCTCAGACCGAATGCGCCGTCAGTTTCAGGACTCTTTTCATTCTCATGCTAGTCAGCCAAATCCCCGTACTCCTGCTTAGATTATGGAACCGCCTCTGTGCTAGTTGCCAGTTTCAGGTCTAGCATTAGTTGAAAGAAGAGTTCATCGCGTTTCCATTGTGAGGCCCGCAACAAGCCCTCGAAGAGTTCCAGCTTTCTCCATTGTTGTAGTCTTCACTTCTGCTATAAGCGACAAGACGCTGAACTGCAAGACGCCTCGCCCCTTCTCCGAGACCTCAAAGATGAACCCCTCATCTGCAAGCAGAAACGCCCGTCCATGCTATGGCAAGGTCGGCCATGTACACGGACGAGGCCGGCTCACCTGTGGGGTTAATGCAGGTAGCCCCTGTCAAACTTGTAGTGTAGCGGGCCGCAATCGAGCAGCGGAACGACAGCCAACCAGCTGTGGGAAGAAAAGATTGCTATCATGAAGAAATGAACGGAATGACTCGGCAAATGAGAGACGCCCCGCAGTCGTGCTACTGATGAGGGTGATGGTGATGATGATGATGATGATGATGATGATGATGATTGCAATCATGGCGGCCTCGATGATGAAGATGGCAGTGGCAGCAGTGACTGGGGCGGGGACGTTGTCATCTGGCAGCCCCAAGGTTGGGCAGTACGATTGGTTCCTCGAGCAGATTGGCAAGCAGCTGCCCTAGCACACTGATCGATTTCCAGAGCCGCCGTCGGGACGCTGCTTTTCAGCAGGTGCCAATGCTTGTGCCGTGGACTGTGTTGCAGGTTGTGATGGGAGTCAGTCCTTGTTATCGAAGGGCTTCAATAATACCTATACTATTTTGTGGGTTCCTTAACATAGTCATGATATAGTTCTAATTATTCAGGCCCCTATGTTATTGCGGTGTCGTCTTGATCAGTGCACCCAAAGAGCCTTGCGCTCCTGCGCCCAGGCCCACGGCCCTAGCCTTCTCGGGCGAACACCCAGACAGCATC